CGGACATAAAGCCCAAAATTTCGGTCCATGTCCGGTATATCACGGCGGACACAAGGGCCTTGCCGGTCTTGGTGTCCGATCACCTGGCGGACATACGGAGTCGTCGAAGTGTCACACCCAGTAGTCCTTGTACTAGGTTGAGTGGTGTCTCTTATGCTTCTCAGTCAACTGTCAGCTCGTCTCGTGTATATCCAGGTATATCCTCAGCAACGGTGAATGAAATGCAAGCTTTGGAAACAGTGGTGGATCCTAGGAAGACTGAAATACAATATCCCGGAGTAATCATGTCACGATCTACTCGTTGCAGCGTTGGGCGTGTGCCGGTTTCGAGGTTGGATCCGTTTGGCGGACACACCGGGGGACGCCCGAGCATAGGTCACTTATGCGGACATAAGCAGCCCAATTTGGGCTGACCGGATCCTAGAGGCGGACATATCCGGTCCAAATGTGTGAGGCCATAAGGGCCGAAAATCGGGCACTTAGGATCAAACATCAGTACCCATATGCCGGGGTCCTCATTGCTTGTACGTACAATATTCTCAGAGCAGAGATGTAACAGATGAACGCTGTTCGTCGTGCTGTGCGTCGAGCACGTCCATCTCAGACACCCCTCGAACTCTGCGTAGTGTTCCGATGGTAATCATGTTATACAGTGAACGTTGGAGCAGAAGACCAGAGTCCCCCTAGGTGTTTCGGCCGACTTCCGGCAGGCTATGTGCATATGCGTGCATTCCTCTTCAGCACATCGTTTGAACTCGATCCAACTCCGGTCTCGTCTTATGATGGCTGAAGCCGTCGACCTCATCGATGAAACTCGATGTTGTACTGTTGGCTGGAGATTATCCAATCAAAAGACCAGGCTTCATGTAGCATGACCAACACGAAGGACGTCCGGTATCGTGTGTACGAAAACATTGACGCCTGTTCCACTCCTGCCGTAGCTCGTCGAAGCGGTCTAACACACTCACGCGGTGATGGACTATGGACGCTATGAGCGGGCTTGCTGCCGGGTGAGCAGTTATTGCTCTGTTGCCGCGGCATACTAAGTTATGATCGTATCGGTGCTGATGATGATATCTATGACAGGACGCCCCAACTACCACAGGAATACCAGCTTTCGGCATTCGTCCTCGACGTTACGATGAATACCGTTGACGTCAATAGCTCGATGCAAAACATGCAGTATGCGTCACTCGCGTATATAAGGCTTCCAGGAATGTGGGAGGAGGGAGGGTCACGAACGAGTCGAAACAAACAATCCCTGCCACACCGAAGTGCATATACCCGTCATGACTGTTCAAACACTCCATATCTTCATCACCGGTGCTACTGGTACGTGCACTAGTGTGTCGTCGTCGTCCGGGACTCTCATCCCGATTCCTCTCCAGGATACATCGGTGGAACCATCCTGACCCGCCTGCTCAAGCATCCGAAGTCAGACTCTTTCAAGATCACAGCCATCGTCCGAAACCCAGAGAAGGCGAAGCAGTTAAAGTCGCTCGGGGTGAAGGTGGAGATTGGGTCTCACAGTGACCCCGAGAAGGTGGAAGCCCTCGCTGCCGAGGCGGATGTCGTATTCGAAGCCGTGAGTGTCGAACTTCCAAGCGAGCCTCTATCAGCATATCTGAATGTGTCCGTGGTGCGAAAGGCTGATGTAGACGATCTGGGAGGCACCCAAGCTGTTCTAAGGGGACTGAAGAAACGTCATGAGAAGACCGGTCAAGTCCCTATTCTGATCCACACGGTATGTAGACACAGGAGGTCCATCTACCATGAGACAGCTGCTGATTTTTTGCTCTCAGTCTGGGACTGGTGAGCCAATCGTCGCGCCCACAGCGTACAGGATGGGGTGGCTGATCGACACTTATAAATAGCCGTCCTTTGTGACAACGCGTCTGGCTTGCACGACTCGAACACTGTCTATTCAGATGCGAGCGTCGAGCAGATCGAGTCACTGGCCCCAAGCCAACCTCACCGCGAGGTCGATCTTGCCGTTGTTGGTGCCGATCAGCAGGGTTCGTATACCTTTCCGTCTTCCGTATCTGTATGCGATGAACTAACAATACCCTCCATCAATGCATAGGTTATCTGCGTTCCTATATTGTACTCCCAGCTCTTATCTGGGGCCTGGCTACAGGCCCGCTGGTCGACATTGGCGTGCAGAACCCGCATTCTCAGCAGATCCCTTTGACCATCAGGTCGGGCCTGAAGCGAGGCAAGGCTGTCATCGTCGGCGAGGGCAAGAACTTCTGGCCAAATGTCAACATCGAAGAGCGTAAGCTCCGTGTTGCAGATGCTTTGCACGGTGTAGTATCTAACAACGCTTTCGACACCCAGTTGGCGACCTGTACATGATCATATTCAACAAAGCATTGAACGACGCCCAGAGGCTCCCACACGGCCGCGAAGGCTTCTACTTCGGCGCGTCTGACGAGCACAGGTTCGCCGACATCTATAAGACGGTCGCAAAAGCCCTTTATGAGGCTGGTAAGGTATCCAGCCCGGATCCAGCCCCCTTGGAGAAGGACGAAGTGGAGAAGTACTTCGGTACCGAACTCATGGCGGTGAGTATAGCTACCCGTGCTGTGCTCATTGATACTGATGCCCTTGTTGACTTGCAGACAACGGTTATGGGAGGGAACTCTCGTTGCCGAGCTGACCGTTCCCTCTCCATTGGGTGGACACCGAAGAAGGGCACCAAAGAGATGCTGGCAAGTATCAAGCCGGAGGTGGAGACTATCCTTAAAGAATCCCAGTGAACAATGGAGGAAACCAGGAAGAAGTACTTCGCGATGTGTAAGATATAATGACCATTCAGTATAGTCGATGATGTTACTCGTAGTTATATACGAGTTGTGTATGGTTGTGTGCGTCGGTTATTGATTCAGGCACTGACCATACCAGTAGTGCCGCTGAAGTTGAAAATTGATCCGCGACATCCTGCGAAGTCTCACGGATCGAAACCGCCGCCGGCGAGTATGTTCGTTCCCTGCGTTCCCTGTGTTACAGCCATTTGCAGATCGATGGGCCCACTTTTTGAAAATCATTTACAGTCGGACCACGTCGGACAAGCAATTTCAAGTCCCCGAGAGACAGAAATGAGACCATCTGGACTTCTCTACCTTCTTCCGACGTCCCTGGCACCCACTCCGACCCACTCCGACTATACGTGGTTTTCTGAATTGATGGTCTATCGATCTGCAAGCGGCTGTATGTCAATGCATTCTATGTAATGCATCCTGACACAGTATTTACCCGCATAATTCCAGCGGGATCATGATACCCATGCGTACGGGTGAGCATTGTCAACATATACATCCTGCATACACCGACGCCCCAAAGCTGTTAGCTGTTGCTAGTCCGTTATGCTCCGCCGCGCCGGACCAAAAATGCGAATGTGTCGGACTTCTGTCTGGTGTGCGTTCGACCTCCACCTTGCTTCCGCAAGGGTGTAACTTCAGGAGACGGTGCTTGACAACTTCTCGCTTCTGCGCAGAAACGGGGAACGTCAAGCCGGTGAGAGCAGGCTTGGATATTCCGCGCCCCTGCAGGGCAGCAGCCTTCAAGTAACCGCTTCTAGATCTGCCGAACTAGCATTGTTGTGCCCTGCCATTGACGGAAGCAATGGCACCATGCATGGCTTGCCAGCGCCTTCTCGGACAAGAAAGAATCCCTTCTCGAACAAGATGTTGAGACCGGTCTCGACAGGACGCATGGTACGGATCCTTCGGTCGTCCATTCACGGGAGGGTCGATGCCATATGCGATGGATATACCGGCTGCTCGTTCCTTAGGCACTCCTATAGGTTGCCTGGTCGATGATGTCGCGCGATCAAGCACATACGACACATTGCCGTATGTGGTGGTACATAGTCATAGGGCGACGGAGTCGATATCCGGAATTGAGCCACCCTTCGAATACGTCAAGGCTCGCACAACAGGACATAAAGCCGCATCCAATTGTCAAAAATTCTAGAGGGAGTGGACCACTGAGGAATAATTTTTATCTCCGATGGTAATATGACGTCTGTCCGAAACGGTAAGTTTGACAGTAGATCAGAAGAAGAACGGCAGTCGGTAACGACTATTAACAGATCCGTGAGGTGTGCGCTTTACAGTCGAATCCTCTTGCAGGGTCTCTTGGTCGGTGTACATGCTACGATTAAGATGCTATTTTGCCAGGTTTCTATGGACATGAATTATCTGTTGGATTCGTCTAACCCAGCTCGGGAGGGTATATGCATGGGTATAGCGGTTCAATCGACGAACACCGACTGGGTTCTCTGCGTCCATGCCATGACACCCGCATATGTTCGGGCTGTACGGACATGCTCCCTTGTCGTTGCCAGTTCCCCGTGTCATAAGCCTGGTTATCTCCTTTCAGGATGTCCGTATTTGCAGAACCCACCGGGATGTCAATGCCCTTGCCATGGCTGGCATGCTACTCCAATAGCGGATCCCGCTCATGCAGTCAAGGTCGGCGGTCTATTGGAACCCCTCTTCATCTAGGTCGCATGTTCACCAGAATCATCATCGACAATTGCAACCGTACAGGTGACGGGATTGCCCCGCTGCAGAAGTACCAGAGAACCGCTGATCGAGAAGTTCAAGGGTTGGCATCACCTCATTCTTTCCCTGACGCGGTTTATCATGGTCATTCTTTGCCATGTTGTTCACACTGCAGTCTGAAGTGACGGGATCACTGTTTGGCACTGGCAAGGTATAAATAAGAGGTGTCTTCCTCAGACACCCCTCACCAAACGATTGCGGATTCAAGTCTCACTCAAGTTGCAGCTTCTAAGACAATGTTCGCCGCCTCTTTTGTCCTCGCCATCCTGGCTGCCCCCTTTGCTGCTGCCGCTCCCACGGACGTGTACGCGCCTCCCATCACCTACCCAACTGCTACCACGGTTTGGAAGGTTGGGCATTCATACAATGTTACCTGGTACGCTAGCCTTTTCCGACATCGCTTCAATAGCATCATTTTGATGGCGGTTGTGTAGGGATGTGTCTAGCCCACCCAGCCAAATCAGCAACCCTATCGGTAGCATTGACTTGGTAAAGGACAATAGGATTGTTATGGGTATGCTATGTATTCAGAAGCCTGTGTGATGCAGTTACTGACTCGGACACGTTAGGTACCCCCTTGGCCACTGGGTTCTCCATTCTTGATGGTATCCACGAGATCACTGTTCCCGATGTTGCCCCTGGCAATGACTACGCCATTGTCTGTGAGTCTAGTCAAAAGGACGATAGCTTCAGAAGCACTGACGAGATTTTATTAGTGTTCGGAGACTCCGGAGATGTCAGTCAACAGTTCACCATCGTTGCTTGAAGAGAACGGCCATGACCCCGTATGTTGCACTAAGAGTATTTCGTAGTACCTCGGACTTGAGTTTCCCCTAGCGCTATGAAGGGTAGTCAATTGTGTTCCACATGGTGCTGAGACAATACAACTGAAGTCTGGCACAGTTGGATATTGAGAATGAAATGAATGCAGGAGAACATTTTCAATCTTATTCGACATTTACCATGTCCGATGGACTGTCAATGCCAACAGATATCAGCCAATTTCAGAATAGTATTCCAGTGAAGATTTCTCATACTTCCGAATGATTGGGAAGTCGCCAACTTGTTAGACAAGCTCCGCTCGTGCTCACTCTATGGATACACAAGACAATGCCAATGCTACTATATACTCTTGGTCTTGTGCTGGGACTACTAGTAGCGAGTCATCGGAGGATGATGCATATTCGTTGATCATTGACAAGCCCAGGTTCATCACCTTCAATATTTCGCTCATTTGAGTCTCATGGAAGGTCACCCAATGCAGTCGGCCTAACTCACTGATGTAATGGTGCGATCAAAATGATACTACACGTAGTGAACTTCTACTCTGGCAAGCTGTGCTTGAAAGGAGTTTCGATTGTTTAACCTAGTAGAGGTAATCTGAGGTCGGAGAACGAGGGGAACCGAGAAACTCACGAGGATAGAGCCGAGTTAGAATAAACTATAGATAGGTGGACGACGCAACTGAGCGGCACTAGTGAATTCGGAGACTGCACATACCTTTGGATGTGGCGAGGTAGACTGTTAACCAAGCGAAGTTACTCTGGCTGATCAATGCTGCAAACTAGGTCATAGTGACTTGAGATGAAGCCCTCATGCAGACGGACAAAGTACTCAACGAGATATATGTAGACCACTGTAATAAGACTACAATCACGTTAATTGGGGCCAAATCATACATCAAGCAATACGCACCAAGTCAGGAATCCCGAGGCAATTGTATATTTTATCAGGTCGTTGATGAAGGAGCTAGAGTTGATATCTTTGAGTGACATGGCACCGTACGCGTGCACCCATCTCACTGACCTGGTGGTAGACAAGCCGTCCCAAGATTTCCTGAGGAAATAGCACATACTTGCCGCAATCAATGCGTCTGTGAATAGGTAGCAGGCGGCACACGCTATGTCGAGAGTCTAGTAGAAGCAGGTGAGGCACCCAATAAACATCAGAATTTCGACTCCCGGATGGGACAGTACCTTGAGTACGGATACTGCGTGAGTCTTAACAATCCAAGTAGCAAAATCAGGTAGATGGAAGCTGTATCAAGGAACTACTAATCAAAACCTTTTACTGGGAATTTCTTGTGAGATAGAACTGATGACTGAATGATGAATGCTATGCAAAGTGCGCACTCAGTCATCCGATATGGCGTGAAAAGTGAAGAGCTCACCTGTCGAACAACCTATGCTAATCGTCTTAGTGACGGGATGGATGCATAGTTCGACGTTTAACACACCTGGACCTCCAGCTGCCAGCAGGAACTGTCACAAGGATTCGACCCATCAGTGCATCTGTACAATGGAAATCTAGACAGATTTCGGCGTGACTAACTAATGACATGATCCATTTTCTCCCACTGTCTAGATATTTTTTAGTAAGGAGTGTTGGATCAAGCCTAGTAAGGTCATCTCACATCTCATGACCCATACAATATCAAAGCTAAACAGAATATCAGCCAGAATGCCCAGCTGTACCAGCGGGAGACTCCCATATGATTGAACGAGAAAAATTGCAACAGCCTGTGAGAAGGAAAAGTGTGAGAATCAGCTCGGATAAATCAATTGTGCGGCATACTGATGGTATCGTCTGCGCCTATTGGGCCACATCTCGGGACCTTTAGCAGGTCCCTCGACAGATGTTGCGGAAACGTACCGCGAGACTCCTATACCGAGTGAGTGAACGCTGATGTGTTTATAGTAGGTTGGCAATGCACCAGTGCAGGCGTGAACAGTTCCTCATGTCACCTCCACACCGCCGAATGAGATAATACCAGAGAGTATCAAAGATGAAACACTGTTGGAGAGTTTCGAGCTGGCAGGTATGACAGTTTACTCTTGTAATTTTGGCACATTCATCATACTTACTGCGAGGATGCTGACGACCTGGAAGTGCATATGTGTTCAACGGCTTCTGGCGAACTCCCAAGAAGAAATGTGCACAAAGGTTCTGAGCTCTCGACTATCCTGCTTTCCAAATCTGTTGAGATAGAATAACCCTTGACCACAGGTGATCCCATGCATACTGACATTGATAATGTCAGCCGATAATGGACCATTGTGTATGATCTTCCGGAGCACGCACACAGTCGATGCAATACCGCCTATAAGAAGCAACCCCAGAGTACTATTCAGGGCGGAGATGATGTTTGCGCTCCTAGCAGTCCTTGAGAGGATTAATGGTAGTGGGCTGCTGCTAATGTTAGCAGGTAAGCAACAATCGCGACCCGTCCTTTTACTCAGTGATGTGGTGGCGTCCTCGCGAGGAAATTGGTCAGAACACCGGCATGGACACAGCAATCCTCAAAGTTCAAGTTAGCAACAGCTCCGGACATAATCGATTGAGTGACCAGATATACTATCCTCCAGCGAACTGTCGATGCCACGAGGGATCGATCAATCATGCGCTGTCAATGATGAACATGAGATTACTAGATTCCTTGACTAGTAATCCTAGCACTTGGGTCACTTGCTGAGTATCAAGGGGCGATGCCCTTACGTTTATCACCTAGTATACGGGCAACTTGAATATTCAGTGGAGAACCAGTCTCGAAGTAAGTACTATTTACGGTGGATCAGTGACATCAGCACTCACCTTCGAGGTGATGGATAGTTTGAATCAGTCAGTCAGTTAGCTACTCGGCTCGCTACTTGACTTTGGTGGAAGGCAGAAATTGTTGAACTAGGCACTGACTTAGCTGCCAGGTTCTAGAACATACCAGAACATACCAGAACCCTCTGGAATATTCTGGTATATTCCATTATTGTACAAGGGCATGGAGCTCATGTAGGTCAGTGACATCATAGGTGGAGCTCAGTAGGATTATAGATATTCCACGTAGCTTAGTCAGCCTATGGGCCACAGTGTATATAAACCCTGCAGCTCTGCTGCCTAATGACAAGGGTCATTTATGCGAGCTTTACCAGTAGCTACAGCATCCACTCAATACAGGTGAGTTGTGTAGGGCACACTGTGCGTGCTGCTGCCTCCATAACTCTTCATCAGGTTATGAGCCCAAGTAGGCAGCTTGTGTCTGCGCGGTAACTCGCTGCAGCGCGTTGATAAGCCTCAGGATCATCTGACCCCCGAAAATGCGGACTCAGCACATCGTACAAGCCCTCCGGAGCTTATTCGACACAGCACTCACACACCACTAGGCTTCTATGGGCTCTAAAGAACTGCTCTATTTAGCTCCGGACTTCCTAGCATCCTCGAGGCGTACACGGACCCATTCCGCGATTTATCTCCGCAAACAGGAGCTCCAGAGCGACTTAACCAACGCAACTTCTAGATGAATTAGCTCCGGGGCCGTGGGCACTTCTATCGAGGGGCATCGTCCTCATGCCCACCCTCCAGCACTCACTCACCCTCGTTTCCGTCAAGATACCGAAGGTGCGGACGTATACGAGTCACCATGAGGTCAGCATCAGTCAGCAAGCGGCCGGAGGTAATTAGCACATGACCGGCGCATCGCACGGAGTGATGGGACCGCTTGGATCAGGTGGCGGAGCATCGAGGCGACCTCTAGGGGCTGGGATGAGCAAGTAGGAGTGCAAGAGAGTCGTATGGTGTATGGTATAGCGGAGGAAAGTGCTGAGCAATCCTGTGGGTAGCGGCATTTATTTGTTATTTATCTCCGGACGGTCGCAAAGCCATTCCTGTAGTATAAATTGTACAAAGTAGCATACAGAAAAACAAGTTTTCGACTTCACCATCTCAGAGAATTAACGTTACGATCTCAGCGACCCGAGAAGTTCGAAAGCGTCGAACTTAGCGATTTATAACCGATCCTAGCTTTGCCAATAGGCCTGACTCGTCGAGAGAAATATCTCCGCCATCGATTTAACTAGTTCCGGTGAGGTTCACATAGCGAAACAAAATTGAGCAACTCTTTCTAGCGCCTTCTACTCCCGTGAGCCCGGACCTACACTCGGTTCTGTGGTTTGCGACTTTGTTTGCGACTTTCCGGAGATAAATACTCCGGAGCGTCCCTTAGTGTTTGTTTCAGGCGTCAAGGTTTTTGTTTTATTTTTCTAGGTCTTCCTACGGACTACCCTACAGCGTCTTACTCCTCCTCTCCCCCTCGAACTATTAAATACCCTTCAGTTGTCTCGGACCGCCTTCACCCATATCACGGGGTTTAGGTTTATTTCTTTTGGTCCTTGGTGATTGTTGTGTGTCAGTGCATATCAGCGTTGCGCCTCGCTCACCTGTGCATCGCCCTATGCGCCCTCACAGGCTGCAGTGTGGCTTGATGCGTAATCATCGCCGTAGGCGCTGTTATCAGCAGCCATCAGGCTTGATGATCGATCCTGGGGAAACTCCCTAATGGAGCCAACAGCATGGAGCAGTGCGCCCTTATCAGGCTGCATAGCTTCGCTGATACTGATGAGATCTCGATACAGATTTCAGATCTCTCAACCGCTCCTCAACAATGTCGAACAACTTGATCGCCGTTGTCCCCGTCCTCGATGGCTCGAACTGGTCACTCTGGTCACAACAGATGAAGGCGTACCTGATGTCCCAAGGCCTTTGGGGACACTGTGACGGTACAATTACTATGCCTGCCCCTGTTGTAACCACCTACAAGGATGGCAGCACCAGTGAAGATACCTCTGCACGAGACGCCTGGAGACTGGATGATACCAAGACAATCGGTACTATTTGTCTTCGATGCTCCCCTGCCATTGCCACCCTTATTCAAAACAAGACGACGGCTAAAGAAACTTGGAACGAGCTTGATGACACATACGGTATCTCGTCTCTTGCCTCTATCTATAACGAGCTGCGTGGGGCGTTAACTACTAAGATCCTGGCCGATCAACATCCCGCTCCCGCCTTTGCCAAGATCACCAAGCACTTTAACGCTTTGGCTTCTGAGAAACAGACCATCCCTGATTGTCTCCAGGGACTGATCTGTCTCAATGCGCTCCCTCCTCGGTATGACTCCCTCGTTCAAGTCTTAGTCCAAGGATCGACATCGACTATGGACATTGACAAAGTCCAGGAGGCTGTTGTCACTGCCTGGGAGCAATCCCAGAACAAGAAGACAACACAGCTAGGTGCGCACAAGATCTCGGCGGTGAAGCGTAAGCCGGGTGATCCCTCCTTCTCTTCGCAGCAGCAGCAGCGCCCTCAGGGCAGCAGCAGCAATGCGTGAGATGGGAAGAAGCGCCCTTATCGCGGCAAGTGCACAGGCAAGAAGCATCAAGGGCAAAACCACGATCATCACCATGCCCATGATGTCCTGATCGCCTCGACCGTCTCCCTTCCTCCTCCAACCATTGCTCACATCCTCGACATTGCGCCTACCGGCAGCAAGACTCGGACGGTTAAAGAGCAAGGTCCGTTCCACCCACCTCCTTCTGCAGATACCAGTCACTACAACAACAAGTGTATCAAGAAAGCCTTCAAGCTCGCGCGGGACCTCGACATCAGTCCAACTGAAGAGGATATCAAGGTCTTGGACGCTCTGGTCGGGCAAGTCGACCCGGACCCAGACGTCGACATGGAGGATGCCGACTCTGTTGCCTCCAGCCGCGCGTCCAAACGCGCTCGCTTTGAAGGAGTCGCTCGCGCGGATGACGCTGTGGACAGCGACCACGATGATAACCAGTCTATCAACTGGGGTAGTGACAAGGACCAGGGGGAGACTGTCAGTCTCAGCGACGAGGAAGACCTGGACTGCCCTATCGCGGAGGCTGCTGGCTTTGACCAGAATGCCTTTATTGACAAGCACTACTTGTACGTGCCATCTTCCCCTTTACAGGACTCCACTGACGCACCATCACAGTTAGGGCAGCATAGTGTAGATCTTAATTTAAGTCCTGTAACGTTGGCATTAATATATTGCACTCATGCGCAAACTTATGCTGCGTTGTCAGCAGAACTTGCGATTGATATAATACCACCTAAATATCTCTAAGCGGTGCAGTCGTCAAGTTCCCCAAGAGAATGCTGGATTTGTCGTTGGTCGAGCAGTTCCCCTGTGTTCGATGAGGGAGAGTATAGGCTTTATAGAGGTTAAATCTCTTTGTTTCAATCTCCAGATAAACAGGTGACCAGAGGTCTACGGCTAGACTTCCAACACCAAACCTAGACTGAAGTATTTCTCACGGTAGAGAAACAGACTAGCTGTGGCAGACAGCAGACAGTACTGCAAGTCCTTCCCTTCTCTGAGGTATCACAGATAGCTTAAGTCCAGACTAACACTGCTTGTTCCAGCACTTTGTGGAACCAAGACAGTACAGATGCACACAGTAGTACAACTGATTCTGAGGCTGACTTGAACCAATGAGGCTCTCTGGTATTTAGAGGGTCTCTTATTATTATTGGTCGTCTCTCTAAGACTGTCTACTGAGCTCCTTATATACCCTACA